CCCCGCGGCGACGGCTCTTCAAAGAAATGAATTTGTTAACGCCTGCGAGCGAGCAACTGTATGGAACTATCGCCGCAGTGGAACGTGCGATGCGACAGATGGTCATGTGTGCATGCGCTTTTCAAGAGCCGCTAATTGATGCCGAGCGTACCATGGGTATGCATATTTGTTTGGGTTTTTTTTTTCGAGGAATGAACACCACTTCCTGAGAGATCGACCGATACATTTGTAAGTTTCCCGTCGCGAGTTTCCACGCCGTGGTCGGTCAATCTTTTATAGTGCTTGATGACTTAATATCAGGAAGTGCTTTTTAGAATGCTATAGATTGGAAACAGACTTTTTGACTTGATTTTTCGGTTCAGATGAGTTGCCAGACCTACGGATTCGAAGATTCAGTCCAATGTCATATACAGTAACATTTTTGATGAGATTCCTAATAAGAATATTAGATTGGATAAATTATAATGTTCTTTAATTTTTTTAAATCGCAATTATTGAACTTTTAAAATGAGTTTTAAAAAGTATTCTTTTTATTTTTGTACTAAATAATTTAGAACTTGAGTAATGCAAAATCTGTTATTTATACATCTACGTTTACAATTACCATAATCTAAAAAACGCATATGCTCTTAAAGGTATAAAAAATTATCATGAAATGTATTTAATTTTATTTAAGCGCTAATTAATTTATTTGATTCCAGGAATGAATGTTAAAATTAATAAAGAATGTGCTAGTGCAAAAACTTTATTATACGTAATAATCATTTTCAGATGATTAAATCTAATAATTGACTAGACGCAAAAGGAACGATACTTTAAAAACGAAAATGAAGTGGAAAAGTGACATCTAGAAACGTGAGAAAAAAGTTCAATAATTAAACTGTTATAATATAGATGCATGACTATAAGAAAATACTTTTCGGAAAACATTAGAGTAAAAAAATATATATATGTAGATCGTTCATCACAATATCAGTTCTAAAAAATCAAGTACCAACAAAATAGAAAAAAATGGTCTTGACTTAGTCATTGGGGAACGAAACAAAGCCGTCAATCGAACCACCGAAGTTATATATTAAATTAATAACGAGTCTCACACCCGCTTACACGTACACACCGACACAGGGCTGCGGACAGGAAACGTTGAAAAAAACGCTTTCTCATGTGTTACAACGAACGCGCCATCGCGCCACTTAAAAGCCATTCGCCCGCGCGCGCGCGCGCCGCAAGCGAGCCAAGACCTGTGATTTCGACCGATAAATTAAGGCTGACCGACAAGAGAGCGCGCTGACCCAGCTAGCCAGCTAGTCAGTCACAGTCCCCTTGTCCCATTACCACCTGTACTTTACTCCATTTCTCAAATCCCGACGGTGAAAAGCCCCCTTGAGCGCTCATTACGGCATTCCTTTCGACTTTCTTAATAATTTATTTATAACATGAAGACAACTCTCGTATTTTTTCTCTTGTCCGATTACGCATCATTTACATTGTTTCGTATGCTCTGTACACGAGGATGAATTAAATTTAACTCAATTCAAACACGTTGGCTGTTTATCGCTGACGGATTTCCAAACATTTTCCTCGTCAACATCATGTATTGGTCTATCATGTCGTACCTATAACGGATCCTTGTTATATATTCGTTTCTTCGTATCGTGTCTGATAATAAAGCTGCTGCGATATTGCATTAGTACGTCTAGAAGGTCGACAATCATGAATGCAACGATAATGAAAACACTTTACTGGCCTCATCGCAAAGTAAAAGATGGCAAGCATAGTACGTAAACCTGTATATAACGATAAATGTAACGGAATAACATTGTAGACACAAGCATTGCGGTTAAGACAATGAAAAATCCGCTATGGACAGGTGTCGCGTCCAATTGAATTAACCCGGCGCAAATCCAAGTACTGCGGGCGTTAATGAGCGTCGCCGGAAGTAGCGCGCTTGTTCGGCCCTTCCGTCCACGCACGCACCACAAACGTACAAAGAGAGAGAGAGAGAGAAAGCTGCATACGATAAAATCAGACGCGTAATTGTTTTGCTAAGCGTATGCGAGTGTCCACTTTATGTCTGTGACAATGAGCTAGCCGGAAGTTAAGCTGGAAAAAAAGCTATTTTCCCCAACACTTGGTGGGGTCTCGACGTCGAGTATTCGTCCCTTTAGGTTGCACCTAACGGGTTATTAAGGACGATTGTTTGCTCGAAAGATTGATAAATTTAGATTATCCGAGGTAAAGTTTGACGGTGATAGGATGGATACCTTTGATTTGGGAACTTTAAAAAAGTCAATATTAGTTCTACGTTTGTTATAGGACAGTTGGTCATCAGTGTGATTGTTCTGAACACGGTAAACTTGAATGAAAGATCTAACGATAAGCGGATCGATAATTAAGTGACAATAATATGGACGAAGGGAATAATTTAGAAGTTATGAAAAACAATTGATCAAGACCATTTATAACTTGACTTTGGAGTTTTTAAATAAATTTGAACAAACGATTGTGATGAAATTGCTTGCAGGAAAAAAATGGTATAACGATACATTTGTATCAGTACCTTGACTTTGACACTGCAATTGAAGATACTTTTAAGATAATGTAAATTGTACAATGAACTATCCTCACTTTCGTTTCATTGAGAAAAAAATACGATAAAGAAAAAAATACTAAGCCTCGAAAGAAAAGGATGGTTGGAGCCGAAAAAAACGTGATTTCTCTTGGAAGGAAGAGGCGTCGCATGGGCCAAATATAATTAGATGTTGTAGCCGTCTTCGGGGCGCCGATAAGACCCCGGTCATTATTTCAGTGTTTAGATAACGCGAAGTGGCGAAACGGAGAAAGGCTCTTTTTGTATACATATATGTGTCCCAGCGCGAAGCTCTGGCCAATTACGCTTTACACTTGCCCAAAGCCTTTCACCGTATTTTCGGCGGCAAGCATTTCCGATCACTATATATATACTGATAGACGATCCACCCAACGCTCTTGGTTCGTATTATTAGCTCTGATCCGTTCGAAGGACAACGCTCATAATGAGTATGGTTAGACATCTTCATATATGATATTACTACAAGCCGAGTTTGTTTCAATGACACGCTTGGATTCGTTAAATTTAACGCCATCATCTTTCAACCTTCTTAGGTTCTCTTTTTAATCTCAAAACTCCATGCAGTAATTAGACTTTTCTTATCATAATGGTATTATTACAGTAATAATAAATGTTTACTTTTGAGAGGAACTCTTTAGATACGAGCATGTTATGGTGATAAAAAATCTGACTCTCAATTATTTCAGTCACTTACATACTCAAAACCTTTCTTAAATCAAAAGTTTATTGAATTTCTAAAATTTCTTTAATTGTCTTGTACATATATAATAAGATATCGGTGAATTTCTTCCAATCATTAATCAATTAATCCCCACTTTTACAAAGTACATTCAATTAATTCATTTAAAAACCATTTCAAGTCAGATTCCACACGTGCGATCCCACCATACCATCTCATTCATCTTTTTATCGCCTTACCATATACGTAATGGCTCGTCCGACGGTGGACCGCGCGCGTCATTCCATTCCCAGGACCTGTCGAGAGACTGCCAACGTTGATCATTATAAAAATTAAACGATGTTCATGATTGATTATTGAATTACACGTTGAGTGCCGCTGTTGTACTAGTGAAACGGTATGTGTGTGCGGCTCTCTTATATGTATACTAATAATATGAATTGCTTGTACATTCATTCAACTATTCTTTGAATGGATGAAAATTGTTATTTGCGTTTTGAAAATAAGTAGTTTTAAAAGTTGAAGTTTGTACAAATGGTATTTATAATAAAACAATAGATTATAAAATTTTATAAATTTCATCGATTTAAGAGTAATGGTGTAAGTGGAATTTATTTCATAATTCTTTTAGTAATTACAACAATAGTTTGATGTAAAATATAATCTCCAAATAATCAATATAATTACTATCCTAAAAGTTTAAATATTTTTTTTAAATTGCAGAAATTCTTATAAATAGTTTATATGCAATATTTTTAGGAAAGTTATTGTGGAAAAATAACACTAAAAGTAAACAACATCTAAGTAATTTAACAATATAATATTAGCCAAAACTTTATTTAAAACTGAAAATACTTAAGCACTCAATAAAATTTGTTACAAAATAATAATATTTCTTAAGGCGTGAATTTTCTAATATAATATAGCTCGATGATCCGCTGAATAAAAAGCTTATTCAATAACAACCAAAATCTTATTCTCTAACAATTCTTTCTAAATATCAATGTAGCCTAGTAATTATTTTTATTATATTGTCAGGTTTTGTTACGGGAACACTTGATGATGGAATAATCAAACTCTTCTTCATCGAGATGATCAAATAAAGTGCAATGTTAGTGCACTACTTTACGTACCAAGCCAAGTCTCTCTAATCGAGGTCACGACAAGACGGATTTGCATGTTCATGTAAATAATATTTTGAAAAAAAAAGAGATAGAAAAATTGATAATTTTGATAAAAGTAAAGAAATAACTTCTCAAATGAGAATCAAACTCACAATCTTCTTCATTCCGGGTAGCTGTCTTAAATACTAGAACATTCGAGTATTCACATTACCAACGAAATATATCCTTCAATCTCTTAAATTTTTCCCAGTCAGTCTCTATATTACAATAACGAAATTTTATATCGAGTGATTCTTTCAATAAAGCTTATTAATACCAAAATTCTCGATTTTGGTCTTACATTTTTTAGTCAAATTCATTTGCTTAAAAATTATAATTCAATTTATGAATTATTATTAAAATCTTTATTATTGACATAATAATATACATGAATATTTTATTTTTATAGAAAACAAAAATCTACAAACTTATTCATTTCATTTGCATAGTAAACAATTTAAAAATTGAGTCAGTCATTATTTGAAGATAAGACTTAAATACTCCACTTATAGATGTTCTGTAATATACGTTGAAGAAGTACCGATACCATCAGTATACTAGTTACGATGGCGAGCAAGAAACATTTTTTTATTCTAATATGTCTTATATTATTTTGTTTAACCCAAAATATCAATGCGGTAATACTGTTTATATAATTTTATAATATTTATTTCTATCATGTTTTTTTCACTTGAATATAATATTGCAACTTTCAAAACAAGATACATTTATTGTAATATTTATTCTAAAACTGGATCACAATTTTATATTTCAGCAAGAATCGACTGATCCTGCTAATGGAGGTAACTTTCCGTTGGAATGAATAATATACAATATAAATACTAACTAATTTTTTTCATAAGGTTCTAATAATATGCAAAGTACGTTATATCGTGATTGGTTGTATAAATCTAATGAATCAAAGAATAACGGTGAAAAATCTGATAGCACTCCTGGACCAAATGAATCTCCATCAGGAACGAATACACAAAGCGATCTTAGTAAATCCGATAGCTCAGGAGTAGGAGGATCTGAAAATAACAACGATCAAACTACATCTTCGCAATCTGCAAACCAAAATATTTCATCTGAAACAGCAACACAAGAATCATCCACATCAAGAATTAGTAATCCTGAAGAAAATGGTCAGAGCGAAGGCATGGGATCTGAAAATAATAATGATAAAGACGATTCTTCAAAACCTGGAAATTCAAACGACCCTTTAATTACTGGAATAGGACAGAATTCAGAAACATCAGGTCCAGCGACTAAGAACGCCACAGAAAATGAACAAAGTGGTACAGAAATGGGGGAAACTGGAACTTCTGGAAACAGTGATCAAAAAGAATCATCCAATATTGGTTCTGATAACGGTAATAAAAAATTTAATTTTTGTTCATGTATAATTTAACTTACTATTCATTTTGAGTATGTATTTTTTTTTCGGAACGCAGAAATGATACATATAATTGATAAAAAAATCTTTTATTTCCTTGACACATTCTTGAACAGATGTAACATACTTATATTGCTAACTCGTTTTTTCCGTAAGGTTCTAACAATATGGAAAGTAGCTCATACCGTGATTGGTTGTATAAATCTAATGAATCAAAGAATAACGGTGAAAAATCTGATAGCACTCCTGGACCAAATGAATCTCCATCAGGAACGAATACACAAAGCGATCTTAGTAAATCCGATAGCTCAGGAGTAGGAGGATCTGAAAATAACAACGATCAAACTACATCTTCGCAATCTGCAAACCAAAATATTCCATCTGAAACAGCAACACAAGAATCATCCCCATCAAGAATTAGTAATCCTGAAGAAAATGGTCAGAGCGAAGGTATGGGATCTGAAAATAATAATGATAAAGACGATTCTTCAAAACCTGGAAATTCAAACGACCCTTCAATTACTGGAATAGGACAGAATTCAGAATCATCAGGTCCAGCGACTAAGAACTCCACAGAAAATGAACAAAGTGGTTCAGAAACAGGAGCAACTAGAAGTTCGGAAAGCAGTGATTCAAAAGAAAATATCAACGATCAAACTACACCTTCGCAATCTGCAAACCAAAATATTCCATCTGAAACAGCAACACAAGATCCACAGTCACCTACATCAGAAACTAGTAATTTTGAAGAAAGTGGACAGAGTGAAAGCATGGAATCTGAAAATAGCAATGGTAAAGATGGTTCTTCAAAACCTGGAAATCTAAATGATCCTACATTTACTGGAATGGGACAGAATCTAGAATCATCAGGTCCAGCGACTGAGAATGCCACAGAAAATGAACAAAGTAGTACAGAAATGGGAGAAATTGGAACTTCTGGAAACAATGATCCAAAAAAATCATCGAATACTGGTTCAAGTAGCGGTAATTGAAAATCTAATTTTTATTTATTTATTTATTTTTTATTTAATGTCGCTCTATTTATGCTCCATCAGTGCTAATTAGCGACGGAGGCTTGCAATGTGTTTGAGAACAAAACACATGAAACTTTTTTCAATAGTGCTTGTATGAATTAGCAGGGACTGGGAATTTTTATTTATCTCTTGGTTTTTTTTTCGAAACGCATAAATGATACATATAATTACTTAAATAAACTTTTATTCTTGTAACTCATACATAAATCGATGTAACATACCTATATTACTTTCTTAAAGTGGCCTTTTGGGATATGAATGTAATTATTATTTTGTTTGCAGGAGTAGGACAAAATTCAGAGTTATCAAATCCGTTACTTAAAGACAGTACCGAAATTCAGCAAAGTCGTTCAAAAACGGGAAACGACGAAACCTCTGGAAACAATGGTCGATCATCTAAGACTAGTTCTATCAAAGGTAAATCAAAATTTAATATGTAATTCAGCTTACTATTTATTTATTTTACTGTATTGCATTAGTGAAATCAACTAAAATAGACTTATATTTTTTTGGTGTTTTTATTTATTGATATAATAAATATTGCCACCTTGTAAAAGTGGTTCTTCATATCCCGTAAATTTTCAATCATAATAAGTCATAACATAAAACTATTATCGAATGGTACCATTAGATAATAGTTCTAGTGGCAGTAGCGATTCTAAACCATTTTGTAGTAAACAAATTAGTAAAACTAATTTTTCTATATAAAATCTACTGCTTTTAGTTACTTTAATAAATAATAGTTAATTTGTTTGAACTTATAAGAAAACTCATCTTATTGTTGGTATTGCTTATCGATACAATCGACTGACATACATGATTACTAAAATTAATATGCACTTATTAATTTATAAATGTTACTTTTTAATTTTCAGGAAAAAATTCGAATAAAACCTCTTTCTCAAAAGAACCATTAATATATCAAGCTATAGATTTCGTACTCAATCCCGTAGAAGGAGCCACCAGAATTTTTCTTAATGCACTTCGAAGATCTGGAGGTGCCATAGTAAAATCGACTGGTGAAATAGGTTCTGATATAGCTTCATTGGCTTCTCAAGTGGGTGGGGTACTTTCAAAACCATTAAAAATTCTAAAGTTACCAGAAAATATAGCCATAGGATCTGTTGTGTTGGCTGGCAATATCGCTTCTAGATTTGGAGGTGTCGCACTTGGTGCCGCGAAGGAAACTACAGCTGGTGTAGTCGAATCAGCTGCTGAAGGAGTTACATTGGGAGGAACTGTAGGACGCACAGGAATTAATACAACTAAAGCTGGTGTTAAGGGCGCAGCAAACGGAGCAACTAACGAAGCGAAGAAAGCTCTCAATGCTACTAAGAACTACATTGTCAAAAATTGTGTGTGGTATAGGATAGGATTCACGAACAATTGTGTTCCCTTTCGTTTATGGAAATTAACCGAATTCCCGTTCAAATTCACTATCAATACCGCTATCCTACCTGTTAAATTAGCTATAGATGCTGCTCTTTTGCCAGTTACTCTTCCAATATCCGCTATCACTTTACCCATAAAATTGGCTCTTGGTTCATTTAAACTTGGTGGAGCTGTAGCTAAAGATAGTGTCGCAGGTGCCAAACTTGGATTTAAGGGAGCAAAAGCAGCTGCACCATCTGCGTTTACGGGTGCCAAAGCCAGTATAAATGCAGCTGGTCAATTTGGTGGACGACTTTTTTACCATATCCGACGCTTTTTTGGATTATTCATTTAAATTTAGTGTATTTACATGTATTTTTTGAATCTATCGTCTGTAAACTACATAAACTTCACCTATGTCTCAATATACTCTATGTATTATAATCAAACGAACATCATATATTATTTTAGCAAGTGAGTGAATTTTATTGTTGTCGGTTATTATTAAACGGTAATAAATTATAATTTTTTTAGAACGTAATATTAGTTTTAGACTCTATTCATAAACCATTCCGTCACAAATGTATGTTTTTAATAACTTTTCTTGGAAATATTTCTTGTTTCAATGATATAGTTTTACTTTCTATATACTAACAAATGAAACGTGCCAAATGGTGTACGCAGCTAAAGAAGAGAGCGGACAACTATGATTGTTCGAAAATTAAATGGTTTTGAAGGCTATATAAGCAACAAGAAAGATGTCGGTCTAATAACAGTTGACGATGAGAGATGTCGAGTGCGGTACATATAGGCGGAGAAACGTGTGATTAGCCGCGAGCCAATAGCCGCGTTGAGCGGCTGCCATGATGGTCCAGTCACGCGGCGGAGACGTGCAATCATGCGCAAGATTGTGGGAGATAGATACAAGTTTAAGTTTCAGATGTACCTTTATACATATATATATATATATATACACTCAGCATACACACACAGGCGCTTTTCGTAGGAATAATTTTTTCGCTTTCGATATTTATCCATCTGTTATACAGAGTGTAGGTTTTTTCCTTTAGCCATTCGCGAAATACGCTGATTACAGCGCGATCGTCATTGCAAAATTACCAACGTCGTACGTATCATTTAAATGAAACTCTCGTGTTGCAAAGTGCTTGAATGTAACGCCATTAACGACCAATCCATGCCTGCTGTAACAATTAACTTAGAAGCAAACTTGGGCACGATTCCGAAGTAAATGCCAATGGCTTAATAGGCTCTCAGAGAACGTTTAATCTGAGAAAGAAAAAGGAAAAAAACAACATCTCTTCCCATTATTTCTCCTCTGTAAAGGCGAGCGCTCAGCATGATTTGCCCGCGTGTAATGTGTGGGCACGCATACTGGCTTCCGCAACGGAGGAATCATCGTCACGGCAGTGTATGAGTTTCGGAAGGTGTTACGCTGTGGCGAAATAGAAAAACTACGGCTAATGGGCACTTTCACGTGCTCTTGCTTCTGCAGCTTATCCTAGTAGTCATCGTCGAGTGGCGCTCACGAGATTCATAAGGTTAATTGCCGTGACCGCATCGGCTCACTCAACCTTTTTCGCACTTGTAAGCTTTTCCTTTCTGCTCTCCTTGCGTAAGCGCTCCTGCATGATCTTTAGCAGTTTAGCTTTTCTTTCATAGCTCGTAACCGCGGTGGCAATTGTCAGTGTTTGTCGTATAATCTGAGAAAATACAACAAGTTTAGCTCGACTGTGTGTACGAGTGTGTGTGTGAATTTTCCTACGAGTTTTGCTTTCGCTTCCACGGCGCGATGAATCAACGTTTTATCCTCCTTTTTTTCGAGGCATATGCACGAGATACTCGTTCCTTTATAATACTTGAGCCGTGGAAGAAGTACATGCTATCGCGAACGAGCGCGAGTATTATGCAAATGTTCGTATGATGCTCATTAACATGTGAACAAGCTGTAAGGAGCCGAAAATTTTGAGCTATCGCGATAAGCTTTACCACGCGGCTCTTATTTCTTTCTCCAAAACAAGGTGTATGATTTACGTAAGGACGGATTTCTTGACGTTAATGAGCGCTTTCGAGTACGCGTGTGGGCAAACTTGGCAATTGTATACGAGCGATGCGTTGAAAAGTTGTTACAATACCAACGATGAATCAAAGATATTACGATCGCGCGCATTTAGGGATTGATTTACTGTTGTAGTTCTCGGTACGTAGGTGCGCGCGATATTAATTTCAAAAGCAAGTCTCATTGTGCAATCGGTGCTCTCGATCGGATAACGATTTCAATTGCTTGAAGTCCCCAAAGATAATAACCTTTTCTCACGCAGGAAAGCAGGCCGCTGTGATATACGCCATTTAAAAATACCACGATATGTAGCTCGGGAGCGAGCGTCGTCGTGCGCGTTACAAAATCCATTCTGCCTGCGCAAAAGTAGATTCTCCGCGGCAATTTGTCTCGTCAAACATCTCGGCGCATATATAACGGATTATTTCTACGAAATTCAATGAGAATGAGAAACAGCCCGCGAATCATATAATGCAACGCGTGTACATCAGTTTTTCGTTTTAACGGCATAACATACGAACGCACACGTATACACCACGCAGCCGCAAGTTGTAATTGCATCCTGTCCTTACAGTCGCTGTATGTGCGCATGCGAGACAGATATATCTCACGCACCGTCTCTCTGCATGCGTGCGTCGCGCGCGCGCACCAATGCAACTTCGCTGCAACAATTGATATTTATTATAGCGTGTTCGAGATTCTGCGCGCGAGAGTCAATTAGCGAAAAGCCAAAGTTTGCCTCGGGCTTATTACATAAATGCTAAGTCAATGTCATAGTGTCAAAATGCTTGGATCTTTGGAAAGGCGCAAATTATGTAGTTTTTTTATTACAATTTTTGGTATTTCATATTCGTACTTTACTCCAACTTATGTTACTGGCATTAGATTTTTCCTTGATCCTTTTCATTTTATTTACTACCAACCGTCTATTTGTAGACCTATTAAAATCTTTAAAAACAAGTTTTTGATCTTCCCCCTAGTGGCAGAAACGCATATCGAATCGAATTTCCCATACATTAAGCAAAATTTTCCAGCTGAATTCATAAACTCCAAAAGTAAGTTTGAACAAACGAGCATTTCCATAATGGCATTACAAGCGACAATGCAAAAAATCCTCCACAACTGTCATCATATGCTTCGCTTGCAGCACACGTATGCTGGTATGTGTGTGTGCGCGTGTAAACGAAGCTTCTAGTTTTATCTGCAGAGTGCATCGCGCGCGAGATTTCACTCGTGTGAAATGCTCGCGGCGCGCGCATAATGACGGAGCGTCGAAGAGGCACGTTAGCCTGACGCTTAATAACTCGTTAATTATCGTTTTAGGAAATCCGTACGTGCACGCGCTCGCAAGTCCAATTACTTTACGTAACCCCGCGCTCGCTCTCGTGGTAATTGGTTTAATTGCGTTTCGCGAAAAAAAAACGTACACACACACAGCACACCGAGGCAAGAAAGAAGACGTGGTGCTCGGAAAGGATTGTATCCGTGATTCGATGGAAAGGCCTGAAAGTGTCGGGGAATTCGAGGATTCGCCGCGTGGCGTGAAATCGTCGCGCTACGTGCTCAGCTCCTTATTAAGAGCTTTCAAACCGAGGAGGTGCTTCCGTGTACGACGCTTGTCTGTTTTTTGTTCAGCGGTCGCTCTTTTCGCAAGCGAATGCGTAGTCGTTTACGGCTTTACACGGCTCTGATTCATTCGCTAATGAAGTGAGATTACAACTTTCTTTATTCGCCTCAACGTCTCTGTCGGATACACAATACTCGTTACACCAACTAACAGTTCATTTTTTCAGAGTGATCAGAGATCCCACAAGCCAAGCGATCGAGTTACGTAAATTGCAATCATAAATTTCCAAGTTATGTGCCGAAAAACGGAGCCGGTATTTAGCGCGGTTTCGGTAGGCTCTAATTAAGTTCTAACCTGATTCCGAAAAAAGAACGTATACATACATATAGTTATGCGTCATAAATTGCCCAAAAACTGGAAAGAAAGAAACAGCAGAACGAGGAATTCCGCAGAGGAGGCGGAAGCGTATACACAGTGGAGTATAGCAACGATGTGGCCATAATAACGGTAAAAATCTCTTTGATTTGGCGAAGCTCTGCGCGGTCGAGAGAGCGTTTAACGCATTTTAGACAACCGCTTCCTGAAGGCCCATCCTGCAGGAGGCCCATTACGACATCCTCTCTTTGATCGGCCAGACAAAGTAGCCGATGCCGACAGATGCGAATTTTCGCGCTCGCGCAGAATCGCGCGTGCGTACGGCTGCGCTGCGCGCCGTCCAATCGCGCGCATTTACGCAACTTCTTCATTACGTATCCCTGCTCCCGTTATGCCGCATCTCACGCGAGCGAAATATTCCGAATACATTAAAAACTCGCGGAATCGCGTGTGGGTTGCTATTCCTTTTTTATCCTTGATCTGAAATCTCCACTCGTGGTGGTCAAGGTTTTATCTCTGATCGAGTCGCATTCGAGTCACGAGGTAATGAGTCGGCCATTTTGAGGGCGCGTACGAGTATGTAACGCCTAACAAGAAGATCGCGTGTTACGTGAATACGCGCACAGGCTCGGAGGCTATAGAGAGAGAGAGGGCCAAAGTTGAGAATGCGCCACTTTGACAATGCCCGCTTCTTTCGCCTCGGTTTTCCGCTTTCGACTAAGCGCCTTTCATTCGTTATTATTCTTGCCGACCCTTTTTCCTCGACTCAAGGGCCGTCCGTGCTGACATGGAATTCATTCGATTCTTGGTATATTCTGCTGCCTTCGCCTTTCCTTTCCGTGTGCGTCATATCACAAGGACGATCGTCACATATCGCTCCAAATTACTTTGTTCTGGAAATTTATAATGGTATCGCTAGTTAACATTGAAATTTAGATAAAAGTCAGCACATGACGACCTCGGCGATAAGTCATATATTTACTGTAATTACGCAACAAAACGATGCCAATTTGCAATCGAATGTCATTTTTAAGTAGGCGCCCTTATCTGCCGCAACAAAGATAAATGAATTTTGGCGCGACCATGACGCAACGAATGCCATACGTTTCTCGAGACCGCAGCTGATTGCATAACAAAAGGAAGCTACGATGATGACAACGACATTACCAAACGTTTTCCCCTTGAGAGAAGCGATTGCGCAGCCAAAAGTCCGAAAAAACGGGAGCGCGAAGAAGGAAAAAAGAAAGAAAAAAAATCGGCGCGCTTTTGTCGTTGGCGTGTATACGCAAAAGCAAAGCACGTACATCCTTCCAGCTTCAACTACGCGGCGCCGCGCGGCCGAAGGTGGAAGTGACGTAAGAAAACAGGGGGAAGGTAAGAAGCCGTGATGGCGGAAGTCTCGCGAGACACAATGCTCGGTGTCGCATTGTCTTGGCAACTTAGCGGTTATTTTACACGCTGTTAGCTCGGTAAGCTAGCCGAGTTTACCGCTGTTTCTATGCTAATGACCGCAGAAAGTCTAGTTGAGTTTTGCCGCTGCTACTCCCGCGCAAAGGGAACAGAGGGAGGGAGGAGATCTTGGTCACGAGATACGCCTTCAGCAGAACGCCTGAAACTTTGTCCTTCTTGTTGTTTACTCGCCGCGGGCGCTTTCAAATGTAAACGATTTGCTCGAGGAGAAAAGCGAGCGAGCAGCCATGCTCAGCCTCGTCTGCCGTGTAGCGCCCTACGTGATTAGCCGCTGACAACTGTGGCTGGCGGGTGATGCCTTGCCTTATCCGTACTTTCTCCTGTATTTTTAATGAAGACCGAGAATCCATTGCAATTCGTGCGTTGGCTCGCAAGCGAGAATTGTCATCGTGATCCGATGTTTTGAGCATACTCGAAACATCTTCCACCCGACTGCGACGCACAGCCGAACAAATCGATTTATTCGAAACATCGGGCAACTGCATTGAATAACGCGAACGATAAAAAAGGAAAGAAATTCACGAACAATCATTGCGATCGATGCAATTTTCTGAAAACGAAGCTATAATGCAATCGAGATCGCAAACGAGCATTTGGCGATCAGTCGAATTAGCGGTGCGTCACGATCTCTCGCGAATCATTGAATTGGACGTGCGCGTTGGCGGGTGAGAAACTTGTACTTAGTGTATGTATACATACACACACGCACATTCAAGTGAGCGCGCGTTTTGCGCTCGGCTAATTATGCTAATTATGCTGCTGTTGCGCACCCGCAATCTATTCGCCTATGCACGATCGCAGATTGATGAGTTTTTACGTCTATTACACCGTTAATGAATAGCTCGCGAGCGCGGCATTGTTCGCGATGATTATTATGCGAGTCGGGAATAAAAGTAAACCTATCTGGATTTTATTTCCCGCATTACCAAAAAAATAAAATAATAAAGAGAGATCACGTATAGAATGGATATAGCAGGACAATTTATTTTGTAATTGGAGACAATTATGGTTTATCATGAACGGAATAATTTTCGCAATTTCATCTATCAGTAAATTTCAAATATTATGCATGCCCACAATTGTTGATATTACGAATTTTAGAATATCGAGATCGAAACACAACGGTAGCTCGTTCGTTCCGTTCTTGGAGAAAGAAGTCTAGAAATGCTTCGAGTACGTTATTTATTCTACCTCGGTTTATTCTGTTATTTATTGGACCTTCATCAGGTATCTGCGCTATATTAACTGACATTTTCTGCACAAGATATTCATTCTTTACTTTAATGTAGATCGGCTCAGATGCCCTAAGTTTATTGCCGAAGAAGAAGGACAAGTCGGAGAGCGCAGAGTCGGACAAGAATGCAAAAGAAAATGTTGGCAAAGCTAAAGAACGTAATGTAATAATTAGAGTATGGTTCGATAATAATTGAAAAAAAAATTTATTGTCAATTATTTTGCGCTACTAGAGGAAGTCTACAAAATGTCTCTGCACGATAAATCAAGGGAGACTGAGTCAGGAGAACACTTACAGTATCCGTTCAACCCCCACTGTAGCTGGCTGAAAATTGTCAGGCCTATTGGTTTGCAATCGAATTGTTTACTCAACGATATCATCGGAATTTACAAAACTATTAAGAAGTATTCCTTAGCGATCGAAGCTTTTGTATAAAATTTGATTAAGCGTCTGTGCTAAATGATACTTACCAATCAATTTCTATGTTAATTGATAGTCTGGTCGGTATTATGTGTTTTGTTATCACTAATTTTTGACTTGTGTATATTGAAATAATATAATTGGAAGCCGCTAGCATGCATATCAATTTTTATACAGCTATATCCGAAAAGTAAATAGAACGAATGAGAGTCTATATACAAGCCAGCAGTATTTCCATTCTGAACCGCGTGTCACGCCAGCGACACGAAATAAAAAGAAAAGAAAAACGTTCGGCGCAAGAATAGGTGTATAGCCGAACGGCAAAATCCGCTTAGCGCGCTCGAAGGGTCAGCAGCGGCTAATGGCGAAAAAAGCGGGGGCTGATCGTTGGGCAGCGATAAGGTAGCTGTAGGTTGACCAACGAAAAATTTAGCCGCGCCGAGCGATTAAGTCTATTATGCGAAGGCTTTTATCGCCATGAGAAAGATCTAATATTCGCGGCCACCACGGCACCACCTTCGACCCCTTCTGTCTGTCATACACTTACGTGTACGAGCGGCGAGCGCGGCTAACGAGCGCCAACACCTGCAGGAAATCACAACCCCCACCGCGATAGAATGCAAATATTATCTTAATTGCGAGTGGCCGCAGCAAACGCTACTCTTGCTGTTGTTTCTTTTTTCTTTCCTTCTTTCATAGCGTTCGTGCATGATTACTTTTCACTTCTGTTCCGTTCATTTTTATCTAGGTTTTCTCGAGGGCGGCCGGAGAGGCAATGACTTTTGGATATTAACAGCTACACTCAAACTACTTTTTGATTTATTCCTTGGTTAATCAAGTGATTTGGATCGTCGATTACTATCGCGGACTAGATGTGTATGCGTAAGAGTTATTAACTTTTGTAATTGCGCCTTTTTTCCTTCGGTTATGTATCTCGTGAACTCGCGAGCGATTAGATTAAGTGCCTCTGGCTTGCTGATAAGCTCTTGATGAACTTGTCGTATTTTTAGAGAAAAATTACTGTAGGAAGTTTGCTAGTTGCAATTTAGATTCCAAAACAATAATTTCGAAATTCGCTAGTCGTACAGAATTCGGCAAACAGGGCCAACCAACTGAATCGTATTACGAATAAAAACTTGATGAAATTCATATGAGTAAAAACGGGTAGGTCAAACATTTTAAACACGAACATCGATTGCCAGCAATAATTCTCAACGTCAGCTCGACTTTGCCACGAGGGCGTAAGATAACAAAGTGGCTAGATCGTCAGCGTACAGCGCTATCAATGCAAATTGCCGGTAATGGAGGCTCTTAGCCGGCGTAACGCGATCTTCAGGAGAATATATTCTTGCAGCAAAGCCCTTGAAAACGAGGGTCGCGTGAACTTCCGCCATTTTCGGCTGTTCGATTTTTCAAACCGAAATCGCCTGCTCGTTTAAGCTCGACTTTGTACCACGTCATACACACGGACAATTCACACTATTCAATTGTTCACTCGCTCGTCCAGTTTATCGATGAAAGGAGTGCGTTAGTAACTCGATAGTCCAGGAGCTAGAGGCGAAACCATTATCGCTCCATCAGATAGCCAACTTGCAAATAATAAGCTTTGTATCATAAAATATGCAGAGAGCTGGCGTAATAGCCGTTGGAAAAGTAGTCGCAGAAGTGGAAAAAAGAGCAACACTTAATAACCGCTGCCTGATACGCCGTTTTCGTGTGCAAGCAACGAGGATTAAAAGCGCGCGCGATACATTAGATTTTTTTTCCGTTCGGCACTCACGCGCGCGGGCGCGCTACTGTGACTTTACTCGCGAGGGAATTTTCCACTCGTTAAGAGAATTAAGCGCGATCGATGCCGAAACCAGTCATTAGTTACACGAACTTTTACCCGATAGCACACGAGCCAAGATATATGTACAGCCAAGTCGGCATTGATTCTATGAGAAACGCTCTACACTTGAGCAGGCCAAACTCTAGGAAAAGTTATTTCTGAGTAACGGCCTGTTTAAAAGGGAGTTTGATTTCTGTCTCTGGCCATAAACGAAGCGCTTGCCGCCTTCTCGAAGGAGAACACAAAATATATTATGGCCTTACCTCAACTAGCTACTTTTATGTTTTTCTTCCCCCGTTCGCCATTACTTCTGCCTTCGTAAAACTTAAAAGCTCTGTTTACCGAGCCCTCGCGAGATACGAGAATGTGACAGTCCATCTATTCGTAAATTAGATGTGCACTAATAAACAAATTTCATTGCTTTGCATACGAATACGTAATCATCACCTATAACTAACCAGCAAGTCGAGATAAGTCGAAACGTATGTTTTGGTCTTTTACGGTAAATTTACGTAGAATATGTATTCGAATCTCTGCAAAGATAGAAGCGTTTCGAGCAAAAAATCAATATACTCCGTACTTGTAAGGGCAGGAAAGGGTATCATGAGAAATTATTTTCAGGTGAATAGCAATGAGTACAATAAAATTGAATAAAATTGAAAAATAAAGAACGTGTCCTATGAACAGTTGGTAAAAACGTTATTTGTATAGCCTAAAGAAACGAGGGCGAACTAATGCATTTTTTCTATGGATTTAGCCATGTACGAATTTGATAATTCTTATCGATTATCTCCCACACGCTATATATAACATACAGCGACGTCGCAAAGAAAAAAAAGGTTACGACCACGAGTGAGAGAGAGAGAGAGAGAGATTCTCGTGGGTAGATAGGCTAATATACTTCCGGGGCGCCATATTCTCGCGCGCCCAATTTCCGCGCGCTCGTGTAGGAAAATGCATTACAATCCTAATGAGCACTTAGCATAACAAACGCCGCCTGAGCTAGATCGGATCACATGCAGAAACACATACGAGCACTACAAAATTTACGCACTCAAAGTTTGAACGTGAACGTTTTCCATAACATTTGTCTAAATTATTTAAGATTTTTTTCGTCTTGTTTGGGCTACTCGCGTGTATAAAACGTAGTTTAAGTAATTGCAGTGATCATATTGTTTTGTAGTTTACTTTAAAGTTTGAATTTTCAGTGAACAGCCAGACGAAACGCGTGAGACAACGATGGCGATTGGTCAGGTGAAAATTAGAACGGCTCATCGATAATCGCCAGCTAGCCGATAAAAGAAAATCGTTGATATCTCTTTTTATTCCACGGCTCGTCTCGATTGCGAACCGCATGCGCGGCCAATTAAACCGTCCGAGCGCGCGCTCACGCTGTTGCAGATCGTAATCAGAAAGCGCGCATTCCACGTTGCGCTCTGGCAGAACTTCAAACAGCGCTAATTTCTTTCGCTCTCGGTTTTATTGCCTATGAGTTGCTTCTTTCATTATTTCATCATTCACTTGCTTTTGCGTACGTATGACCATTATTTCCGGCACGCTAAACGTACTATGCCAGATGTACAATTGAACATCCTAATTTATGTAATATAAGCATGGAAAATTTCTTGGACAATCGTTTTTATTTCGAATAAATATTTCATAATAAGAACAAAATTTTCCTCTTAGCTTATAACGTGAATGACATAACATAAATACATAGAATATAGTTATATTGCAATAAATCATACCGTAGCAACCAAATTATAAAAAAATAATAGATCAAATAGTTTACTCGCTAGATTTTCTTTCTTGACGCAATATATATTGCATGAGAAATGTATGAAATTCAAAAATATGCTATACAAAACAATATTTACAAAAAAGAAAAAGAAAATAGTGTAATTGTTTTATGTAGGATATAAAATCGTTGGTAAAGATCTATAAAATCATAAGGTACGTCTTGTATAAATGAGTGTTTGCAGTTCTGGAGTTGATACGGACAGGTTATAACAATATAAATATTTTATGAATTGTCAAAGACGAACTTAAAAGATAATTTATTGTTGAATTTGATATAAACTAGAATTTGGTAATATAATTGTCTATATTTAATTAACTCGATCCAAGAGCAGAAGCTATCTCAATGGATAATGAAAGATAATAGTTATATAGCAATAGTTACACAACATTGAATCAGGTAATGGACACCGAGGTAGTAGGGTACATTATAATGATAGTACTTATGATTCAGGTAATGGACAATGTTTATGTATAGTAGAGATTTAGAGTGTTAATACAAATACTCAATGTACCTGTGGAGCGTTCCACATAAGCCTAGTTCTTGAAATAACAATAACAATAATAATAATAATGGCGGGGAGCATCATTGAAGATTGGAAAGAAAGTAGGCGGTAAAGAACAGTAGTCATAATTCAGGTAGTGATTATTGAATTAGTGCCTAAATGAGTGGAGAACGCGATGAATATGGTTTCATCGCAGGTAACAAAGATGAAACTGGCTATAGTTCAAGCAGCATTTGCTTGAATGCTAATTATATTTCAAGTAATTCAAATAATATATCAAATTCAATTAATTAGCAATAATCTCGAAATCTGAAATTTTGCATAAGCTTTAAAAAGTCTTCAAAAACTTATTAAAACATTTTGAAAACATTTAAAAATGTTAAAACTAATATAACTATAACCGGTAAATAACAGTTGTAGCTTACCAAAATATTGATAAATAATAATTAAAAAAAAGGAGTTTTTATATGACTTTTGAACAAATAGCCACTTGATGATTTTGATAATCAATTATGTATCGAAATAAATTGTTATTCCCGAAAGAGACGACATACACGAAAAATAGATAAGATCGACCTAAAATACGAAGCCAGTCATTTTAGCATAATCCTATAAACATAACGTACTTGAAAGGAGGCTCAACTTTCAAATCTTTCATATCAACTGTATACATACAATAAAAATTCAAACGGTACATGCATGACGAAAAAAAATATTCGAAGCTCTTGTGAATGTGCGTGACGTTATACACAAGTCTGAAAACGAAAACCACAAAATTCGGTCAAATGCGTATACATTATGGCGTCGAAACTAGGATCCCCACTGAATATTTCCTCAACAGTAGAACAATAAAAACTCCTAATATACACTCATGCAATCACACATACGTATACGAGTCGAATATATAGGTATAAGGTAGCAGCGGCAACTTATGGAGTTCAGCCGTTAACCGGCGTTTACCTTAATCTAAGATCGCGAGCGAGCGCGTGCTTAATGTATGGCCGTATGAATATGCATCGGACACGCCGTGCGCCGCCGCGTCAGAGAGCCGCGGGGCCATAAGTACGC